GTCCTCATTGTTCACTCCTCTCACTTATTCTGCTCCATGCTCAAAGTCTCCATTCCTTACTGGTTCATTTAACTTTACATGCTCTGGAATAGTAGCTAACTTAATGTCTTGTAGGATGTTTCCTCTTTGCTTAGCCAAATAGCCGAGCATCATCCTCAACTTATCTATCAGTGTACTTTACGGTCCTTAGTGGAAGCAAAATGAAACCTCAATACCAGGCTGGCGACGGCTGAGTCAGAGCTCATTCCAGGTCAGTCGTGTACATTGCATGATTTTGAGGAAATTACTCATTGTTTTCCTATCTCCATTTGTGGACACAGGCTTTGCATAATCTCTGCCAGGTAAGCCTCAAATAAACATTTCCAGCCCTCTTAGCCCAACCCCACCTTCACCATTTCAGCCTCACTATGCCTGCAAGAAGAAAGCGTGTATGACGAGCCATCTCCGATAATGAAGACACAGTCACCTCTGCACAGAACAACACATTTTTGAAGGCTTCTTCACCTGAGGTAGAAGTCATCACCGCTGCTACTGTCAAGGCTACCAACAATATTAAACATGCTGCCTTTGAGAAGCAATGAAAGGTAGACAAAAAGATGCCCGAGGAAGTTTTAGGTGAGTAACAAGCATAGATAATGCCTGTGGTAACAACTGACCTCCGCTGTAGAAAAGCAAATGGAGACATGGTCTCCGGATGAATACGAACACTTCAAAAAGCCAATAATTGAGAAGCATGCTGGTGGGGTCATTAAATGTGTATTTGCGTGCAAGCACAATCTATAAGTAACACGTCCCACTATTTACTTTTACCGTGTCATCATCAAACTCCAGATCAACCACCATCACACGTGTTTGGTGGGACAACTCTACAAGTAACCTCTTTTGTCATGCTAAGGAATGCAATGCAAAGGTTGCACCTGAAGGCGAACGCATTACGGACTTTGCCCACAGCTCAATATATTCAAAGGCATGGCTTTGCTATCTCCTCGCCATGTGAGTCTCCTGTCGCAACTGACTGTTCGCTATTGTTGCCGATAGCGAGTTCCTTGAGATTGTGCACATGCTGTATGCAAAGGCCGAGGTTCTCCATCCGATGACGGTGTCCCAAGATGTTCAAGAGATCTTTGGTATCGCACAAAAGCATCTCGCTGATCATCTGCAGGTATGTTACTGCAATCAACCTATTCATCTGCCGGTGCTAATAGCATGCCGTTGGTTAGATGCATCTTGGCCAGCTTCATCTTTGCGTGGACGGTTGGACGGCACCCAACGTGATATCTTTCTTAGGAGTGACTGTCTAACTTGTAGCAAAGGGGAAAATTGAGGTTTTTATCCTTGATTTCATTAAGTAAGTCTTGTTTACTCTTCATTGTTGTTCTGACACTCACCCACTGCACGCGCTCTGCAGGCTTACACAAGGACATACTGGTATATATTTGGTGGAGCAGCTTATGGGTTGCCTTAAAGAGTTTGGTATCGAAAAGAAGGTACACTATAATTATTTATACTCTGTTTTATTAACTCATTGCCACTGCCTAGATCCTGGGCATCACAGCAGACAACACCACCAATAACAATATCATGGCAGCTGAGCTCAAATTGCTTGGCAGTGCTAATGGTGTTAGCACTTGAATACGGTGCTTTGCGCATGTTTAGAATTTGGTTGTCAAGGTACGCCCTTCTTGATATGTTCTTGGACGTGTTACTTATCTCACCACCAGGCTATGATTGCCTCATTCAGTGCGCAGCACAAGAAGGAAGGCAATAACGATACTGTCAGCAACGATGACCTGGATGCTGACTGTGACCTTGACATTGATCCCAATGATGTAGACCTCTCCGACATGGCCAACAGCGATGACTTCGAACTTGACAGCAGACGACATTACTATTGAGGAGAACATCCAGGAGATTGGACAGGAGTGGTCACAAACTCCTGAGAAGCATTGGCTTGGTCATCAGGCAGTCACTAAAGTATGTACCCTGTCTACTCGTGCATGCTTCTATTGATATCTTCCACAGTTGACTGAGCTTGCGAAATGGGTATTTCACTTGCCTACCATATGCAACGACTTCACCACAAGTTGTGAGAAGGCGAAGATTACACTGAAGGAAATGATTCAGGCCATCATCACATGCTGGAACTCCTTGGCGCAGGTGATTTTACGTGCACTTGAGCTTTGTGTGGGAGCCGTGAGAACATATGATCTGGATCTGTATATATCTGCGGTTATCTACACGGCTCTACCTACAAGTATCCATGAGTGATCCAGACTCGTGCTAGGCTTTATTTGAGTGGCGTCCACTTGGCAGTATCTGGTGCTTTTCAGAAGTATGCAAGGAGGCCTTGTTCTATGGCAATATCTTCTGAGTTGTTCGCTTCCAACTGGTCAAACTCTGAATCATTGTTGAAGTCCATTGAGAGCATTAAAAATGGTGGTATTTGGTGCTGATTGCAGAAAAGGTGACCGCTGTATTAAGTGCTGGTTGTGAACACTATCATACAGAGAAGTTCCATTTGACAACCATGTGAAATTTCACATGAGACTTCTTAATCATTTCCGAAATAACTGTAGTAGGTTATGTAAACTTACCATTCAGGCATTATGTCAACAGGTTCACCAACAGAAAAGATCCGCCATCTTCAGATGCAATTTTCAAATCTGTCCAGAAGAGCAAGCAGAAGTAGTGCACCCTCAAAGCTATAGACTGCATTGCAAGTTAGGAAATGCCGAGGGATGGGCACCTATATACACAGAGATGGGCGCCTATACACAGAGACGGGCGCCTATACACAGGTATGCTTTCTCTTGTTAGCGCCCACCTCAGTATCGCGCTCTGTGCTCCATCCTGGATGGAGGCGGCACAACAGGCCTCCGGTGCTGCTCTGTGCTCCATCCTGGATGGAGGCGGCACAACAGGCCCCCGGTGCTCTGTGCTCCATCCTGGATGGAGGCGGCACAACA